CGAACATCGCCAGCAAAACTTCGACCACTTTAAGCGTCTTTGTAATAATAGAAGCAACCTGATTTGACGATTTTCTGATCTTACATGGTGTAATTGCTTTCGGCTGTCGGCGATATTTCCTCGCAGATCAATCATGTTGCCGAGAAATTACTCTGGTATCGCATATGGCTGAATATAACATTTAATTGTGGATTTGAAAAAAATGGCTTGTGATGAAGGCCCAATGGAGAATGACGTCGCGTTTTAACAAAATCTCAACCGTACATTGTTGGCTGATAAAATGGAACAGATCATTCAGGATTTCCGCAAGACCCGGGAATATGGTTCATTTACACTCTCGGGTAGCTCGCAAGGACATGATGGGAAGAATTGGTGCGTTGCGCTCCTGGCTTTTTGCTCGCCCTTTTAGCGCGTTCTCCTCTGCGGCAGCCTTCGATGTCGTCGGAGTATCTCCTCGTAAAGTACCTCAGTATGTGATGCTGTTGCGTCCACGTGACGTTTCGGGTCTGATCTTAAACTATTTTAGCCGTATATCGCATTGTTGGTGCGCACAAAGATTGAAAGAATTGGCTTTTAGCTCTAACAGTTAGCTCTTTCGCTTAAAGGAAGCTTAGTTAAGGTCGGTGAGCTTCGTTCTATACTTAAACTCAGTACGAGTGTAGCGAATCGCAATCAACTTATCCCAAGAGTAATGACAACCTTAACCCAAGGCTAATTAACTTTAAAACGTAAATTGTGTTTCTACATTTTATTGGCGACAAAGCTGCATCTATAGGTTTTCCTATCTATATAGTAAAACCTAATTAAATGTATACCTACTGGCTGTTCCAGCCACGTACTGACTTCTTCTTGTTAAGTTGTAGCCACACCACTGTGCGGTCAAACTATTTTGTGTGATCCACACTCTTCGTATCAGGGCACGTGAAACCCCGTTACAGAAACGACACGACTTGTCGTGTCCTTCTGAGTCCTTTTGAGTCTTTCTGCAATAATGCACAACCGAATTGCAAACTCAGAAGCGTCACGCAATTGATTTGGAAGCTGAACCGAAAATTCTCTCAAGCTTTAGGGTGATAAGGCGCATAAAAGTCAAGTCTAGTTTTAGCTTATAATTCTTAAATATGTCTCACGATGTCAAAGATAA